CCTGTTTTTCTTCAAATTTTCAGTCGAAGTCTGCTCTCTTCTCAATGTAACAGACTGCAGCTTTAAATGTGTGTCAAATATTATTCAGCGAAGTCACTGCAAATAGAGTAGCCAAATATTTTACTTAAGAGTAGCAATATTTCATTGAGATATTACTCAAGTAAAATGAAAAAGTATAGTGCAGTAAAACTACAACTAAACGTAACTCTTTATTAAAACGTTACTCTCATAAATGTAACTAAAGATGATTTAGCCAGCGTGTGCCCAACGTCCAAGAATCTCCTAAAACTCTGGCATAGTCTGAACTGAAGCCATTTTCTAAATTTTGGGCGTACACATAGAGTATTCAAAATGAGTCCAGAACTTATGTCCAACAACAGCCTAACTAACGGACGGCTGTGTAGTGCCGATTAAATCTCACAAGCCAGTGTCCTGAGAGGGGCAGCGATGTGCCTGGAGACGCCTGCCCTGCATAAAAAGATTTATTTGATGTTATTTGGTATAAACCTAACGGCTGTTTGCCGCCCGCCAAAAAAAAAAAAAAAAAAAGAATAAATAACTAAAAAGAAAAAGAAAGAGGGTTTGCAGTCGCAACAGATTCAACGTCATGTCTGCTTTTGTTGATAGTGCCTGTGAGTATTAACGTATGTGTTGGACATAAGTTTTTGATAAGTCACGCTTAAGTTATGCACAAGTTACTCATAGGTTTTGGATAAGCTAGACACCATAGGTCAACATAGGTTGACATGGGTCAACAATCAAATAACTTACCTGTAACTTATGCCCCATGTACAGTATAGCATACGTTGACACCCATCAAGATGGTACCAGCATGTTTCAGCATACTTCAGCGTGCACATAACTTATACAAATTGTACTCGTAACTTATCCAAAGTATGCCAGCGTTTTTGCCAAATTTTTCGTACGTCAAGCATACACTGGTCTAAATCGATAAGGTGTGATGGGGCTCAAGAAAATGTAACTATTAACTACTCATCTCTGGCCTTTTTTGCTAGTAAAAAGTAAAATGTTAGCATCACAGGTAGTAAAAAGTAAAATCTATTGCCCCAACTGATGGGGCGATAAACCGTCAATCCTTCCATTGCAGGGCAAACTCCTACATCTGATGCCACTGTCTCCCTGTACCAGTAAGTACAGGAGATAATGGAACATCAATATGTCAGACATTAATCTGAGTTATGCAGAGTAACAAAAACTCTAATGAGTTCAACATAAGCTATATGAGTTTTGGAATTCAGCTTAAACTGGACTGATATGCTTTAGAATACATTTAACAGATGGTTCATAATGGAAAAACCTCCAATTCAAACTATTCTGAAAAAGTGCTTCACAGTTCTAAAAACAAAAATACCACTTCAATGGTCCAATCAGTTATTCGATGTAGGAAGCACTTACTTCTAATGTTTAAAGTACTTAATTTAAATAGAACGTAGCTTAATGCTGCTGCTTTGGCTTGGAGAAACGCGCATCAGTAATTCAGCAGCTGTCTATAACTCTTGGATCTCATTGTTTTTGCCATTAAGCCCAAATAAAAGGGTTGAGCATTTAACTTTATCAGTCTTAATTTTTTAACAAAGCATCTTACTTTAAATGTATTTCCCTTTAAAGATTGTGTTAGTGAGTAAGTGAAGGAAAGGCTGGCAGGCGAATTAGGCGCAGTTTGCAGATGAAATCCCATTAATGAGCTGCAGGTGACACTGTGATGGTCCCTGCCAGGTGGCGGCTCCAACATCTCTGGCACGCTTCGTTCCCTCATCACTCTGACAGCTTAAAGCTGCTGAAGATACTCTGTGAGATGGACTCCACTGTCAAGTGAGATGTTTTATTACATAGGTAGGGCACCGAGGGAAGTTCAGCCAGCCAATCTGTTCAGTTGGACAGCTCTGCCTGGTGTTGATTTGTAAGCACTTAGATTAAATGAAATTCTTCAAGTTTTAACCAGAAAAAAGATGCACAAGGGAAAGCTAAATCACATATGGTTTAATTTGTCAGGGGAGAATAATTAAAAGAAATGTGCAAAGTTGAATCTTCTCCAAAAATATTTTTGGTCAGGCCAGGACAAACAAGTATTTGTTTCATTGTCGTTGTGAAAATACATTTATTTTTGCTTGGCAGATAATAAAGGGCCTTCACTGAAAGATTTGATTATCTGAAACCTGCATATTTTCAGCTGAATTATAAATGCTCCTTTCTCCAGCTCCTGGAGTAGAGGTAGAAGGATAAACTTCTTTATAGAACTTTATAGAAAGGGATTTAAATTGATCAAACTAATTCCCTAAAACTGTTTTATGAAATTATTATAGGATCCAGATAATTGCTGCTTTTTCTCATTAGAAATTGTGATTTTATACATACAGCTGTGTACTTTTTTTGTTTTTTGTGGAAATTTTTTTGAAACAGGCTGCTATCATAAAATGTTAAACGAATTTTAGCTCAATTGTTTTTTTTGTTTTTTGTTTTTTAGAGATACGGGACTTATGTTTTAACTTACTGCCTCAGAGCAAATGAATGGTTTTATTTGAAGAAGTGTCTCTGCAATGAGAATTGTGGAATAAAATACAAAATCAAAGTACATGGACAACAGATGAGCAAGTTTCTAAATATCCAGGGTTTTTCTTTAGGCCTGCAACAAAACCAAAGGAATACTATAGAGGAAAACAAAACAATTTTGGGGTTAATATCAAGACAAAAAAGACAAAGAACCTCATTACGGCTGCATAACTACATGTGCTGTATGTATTCAGGGGGGTTTAATGTGACTAATCAACATAAAGTAGTTTATCTAAAGCAGAACATAGCATGATATTTTATATAATATTTTTTTGTACAACAACCAAAATTGTAGACCGACTGACTAATAATTAAGCAATTAATTAATCTTCTCGCTGCTGTCGTGATGGTTAACCCATGATCTCCATAATAAAGCTCTGCCTTTCATAACTCCTAATTTAACCAAAATAATAAATGCAACCTTTTTGTCAGGTGTTTTCTCCCAGACCCTAGAAAGAGCCATTTTCAATCCAGTGGAAAAACAGCAACTCATACAAGTGAATACTGCACAACTACAGGCCAATCTCAAATATCCCCTTTATAAGGAAGATTATAAAAAAAAAAAGCTGAGTTTCCAACAGCTAAACACCTTCCTAACAATGAGCAGCTGCTTTGACGTCTACCATACAGAGACTGCCCTTTTCAAGGTGTTTAGCAACATCCGTATAAATGCAGGCTGTGTAAGAACCATTGTTCTCATAGTATTGAACCTTAGTGTAGAATTCTACCCTGCTGATCAGGCTCTTAGCTAGCAATGCTTTACGGGCGTACATTGTATGCCCTTTACTAAAAATATTAGAAATTGTGTGCCCTGTTTTTGAAATGTATTGTTAAGGGCACAATCGCTACATGCTCCCTCTAATGTAGATCTTAATAAACAACAATATAAGGTACAATAACTATGCAGAACACACATAGCTGTATGTTATCATATCATCAGCTAACTATGAAACCATTCCAATGCATCGATATTAATGCATGGATGGGACAAACATTCTTTAGCGAAATCAAGATAAAAGTCATATTCTTTGGATCAAAATAGAAAGTTTTAAATTTAGCACAAAGCTTCAGTTAATACAGCTAAAAACCACCAATCAGGTATGAAACTTTGGTTGTGGTTCTTTTTACATCTAAATATAATTCCAGTAGTTCTGTTTCTAGCCTCAGATTTTTGTTTTGAGAACATCCGCGAGCAAAGAACATCATGACGACAGAGGGACGCGGTAAAAACAGGTCAGGGACAAATATGTGAAGTTTTAAGCCACTGTTGCAAACCTACAAAGACATGGCCATGCACCTAAACTGACACTTCAGGCAAGGAGATTATTGGTGAGAGAAGCACCCCAGAGGTTTATGGTAACTCTGGAGGAGCTGCAGATATCTGCTTAATCAATGCAGTTTGTTGACAGGACTAAATCATAAGTAGTGCACTCCGCAGCTCTGTCCATGTAGAACAGGGATCTGTAACCTGCATCTCTATAGCCTCTAGCGGCCTTTTGGACTTTCCAGGGTGACTCTTAATGGATTTTTAAAATAAATGATAAAGAACAAAACTAACATCTTTAATGTAGGTATAACCAGAAAAGCACTCAGACGTATTGGGACTTTCACCTTACTTTAATACCTGTATGCACAGAATCCTTAAAAGAATTCCTGGATCCAGATGGTGATCCGTATTGTCACAGTCTTGGTTCTGTTATGTTTTATTTGAGTATTCAGTTTTACTTTGCTCCATGTTTTAGTGGTTTAATTCCTATTTTTTTGTGTTTTATGGTTATATTTGAGTTCTTAGGTTTTCATTTGTTGCCCTCTTGTGTTAGTCTCCTTTTCCCTAGCTCCTTTCTAGACTCCACTCTTCACACCTGCTCCTAATCTGCTCGTTAGTCCTCTCTTTGTTCTGTTGGCCATAAATACTCCCCTTTGCAGTTCCTCAGTGCTGGTTCCTCGTCTTACCTTGTTTTTCCTCTTCTAACCCTGGCTCCTCGTGATTTCTGGTTTGTGTTACATTTTAAGTTGGTTTTTGGATTTTTCCTGCCTCAGTGGTTTGTGATCATTCTATTAAATCTTCGAGAAACTCACCTCTGCCTCGCTGCCTCTGCATTTGGGTCCTCAAAAACCACAACCAAACCCTGACACGTATCATCGTCAATATTTTATGCATTGTTTCTTGGACTGAGGTGCACATTTAGTAAAAAATTCATTAAACTCCATAACTTTCCTGCATACAGACATACAAACACACACAGACTCGACTAGAACCATAACCCACTTGGCAGGTTTTTCTTTTTTTTATTTAACAGTTGAATACAATTCCCTCAACAGCACACTTAAAGTACCAGTATAACACCATGTTAAAAAAATATTAAAATCTCATAGATAAAATATGCCCAGACTCCATTTGCAAAGGTTGTATTTTTCTTTACTTTTAAGCCCCCGCAAAACAATTACTGTTACTTCATTATTACTTCATTAATGATGCATTTTTAAGATAGATATTTATATATACTTGTATTTTTTTTAAGGTTATCTAATAATAGTGGATTTATTCTGTTGGTCTTGAGGCCAAAGGGACTCCTTTGACTTCCCTGATGTAACAGAATCGTAAGAAGAAAGCCAAGGTGTGTAAAAACACAGTTTGGCAAAGGCCAGGTAGGGGGTACAAGAAATACAACAGATCTACAAAAAACCCTTAAGGTCAGTGTGTTAAACACATTGAGCTTGATCTTCAGAGGGTTTGTACATCTTAAAACAGGTACAAAGATGTTTGTATGTGCAGAGCAGATCTTCAAAGAAGGTGTAAACTGATTTGTGTTTGGAATAAAACAGACAGTTTGAGCAAACCTTTTTCCGTGTGTGAGTTCATCAATATGCTTGAGAGATGATCTGTGTGCATGTAAATGTTGGATTGTCAAAAATAGTGATAGTACAATAATATTGAAAAATTAAAAATGTCTGCAGGTACGCACAAATGAATACAGCAAGACAGCAGACACCCTTTGTACAATTAAACTGAAATGAAAAACAATAACAAATACAGTTCTTAAATATTGTTTAATGTTTTTTTTTTAAATCTAAAAGTTTGCATCTCTTACTCCCCTCCCCAGCCACTTGGGCCAGCTCCTCCAGGGGAATCCCAAGGCGTTCCATCGCCAGCTGAAAAACATTAACCCTTCAGTGTATCCTGGGTCGGTCTCTGGGTCTCCTCCTGGCGGAATGTGCCTGGAACACCTCACCAGGGAGGCGTCCAAGAAGTATGCTAACCAGATGCCTAACTGGCTCCTCTCGACATGGAGGAGCAGCAGCTCTACTCAGAGTCCTCCCTGTATAACTCAGCTCCAGACACACTACGTAGAAAACTCATTTCGGCCGCTTGTATCCGGGATCTCGTTCTTTCGGTCATTAGCTTTGGGTCATGATCATAGATGAGGGTAGGAACAAAGATCGACCTGTAAATTAAGAGCTTTGCCTTTTGGCTTAGCTCTCTCTTTACCACAACAGACCAGTACAGCTCCCGCTTCACAGCAGATGCTGCACCAATCCGCCTGTCGATCTCCTGCTACATCTTCCCCTCATTCATGAACAAGACCTCAAGATACTTAAACTCCTCCACTAGGGGCAGTATATCCTCCCTAACCTGGCATGGAAAGTCTTATATTTAATATAATGATCATTTTAATAGTTTTTATCATTACCTCCTTCATGGCCTAGAACCTCATCTTCCTTTCTCTTAACTGCCAGTAGAACATGCAATCTGCACATTTTAATGGGGAGGAACCATACTGGTTTGCATGTCTTAATATTTGCAAAGCAACCTTTGTAGATCACTCACAACATTCAAATTATTGCATGCACTATTAGAAAATTGCATGTATAATTTAGCAACACTTATTCTGAATCTTCGAAGATCAGGCCCATAGTGTGGAGGAAAACCAACAGTTAATGTATCCAATTATCCTAATGTGTAGAAAATGGTGGTACCTAGAGGTTAAAAAAGACCTTTTAAGAACAACACTAAATATGCCGCCACGGAAAACTTATGACCTAATTCCAAACAAAAATCTGTGGCAAGACTTAAAGGATGATTTTTACTAACTCTCAAATCCACATTCATTATGGGCTGGGTGGTGTTGCTCTGTTGCTTAAAATCTTTATTAAATACTTTGAGATTCTCCATTGTAAGTGTTCTCACTGACCATCTTGTCAAGGTCCCTCTGGAGGTTGTTCTTTTCCATGTGGATCTTCTCGTAGGCCTGGATCACATCCTCCAGCTGCTCCTCTCTTTCCTTTCTCTTCTGGAGCTAAAGAGAGACAAAACCACATATTTTCATCTTATTAGTTTCCAAAATTCCGTACAAAGGAAACGGGGGAAGAGAAAGCTCTACACAGAGTGTCCTCAAACATGTCCCATAAGATGTTCTGTAACCAGGTGAAACTAGGACACTGAATTTATTATATGTCAGCATGTGCTACACAGCACTTCCCTGATGTCACCAGAAATAATAAAGAGGAACATTTGATGCCTCTGTGGTTAAAATCTGTTTACTGTGTGGCATCGTGTATACCAAAGTGAGACACAACCTTATCCGGTCGACCTGGGAACTGTGAGAATTTTCAAAACAAAGTGAAATAAGAGAAATTTAAGTCAGGCAAGGGAAAGAGTTTGCTGAAGCATATGGAAAGAAAGCATTTGGACGGTAGGGGGGTGGGTAACTTCTAATCCTCTCAGTAGGTGTTTGGTTCACTCCTCATGAGCTAAGTCCTCCAGTTGTCTCAGGTTTGAGGGTGTCTTTTCTAAAGTGCCTGTTTCTGCTCCCTCCAAAGATATTTAATTGGATTTAGGTCAAGTCTCATAGAAAGCCACTTCAGAATAGTTCATTGTTTTCCTATTAGCCCTTCTTGGTTGTTTTTTAGCAGTTTGTTTTGGGTTATTACCCTGTTGACCTTCAACTGAGCTTTCTGACACTGGGCAGCAAATTTCTCTCTCGAAACCCTTAGTAGTCTTGAGATTTGAGATGTCTGTACCCTGCAGACATTCAAGACACACTGTGACTCATGAAGCAAAGCACCCCATAACATAACAGAGCCTCCTCCATGTTTCACAGTAGGGACCTAATCTTTTCCATTTGTGAACACAGAGCCGAGAGCCTCTGCTAAAAAGGTCAATTTTTGTGTCATCTGTCCATGAGACATTGCCCCAGAAGTTTTTTTGGCACGTCAAAATGTAGATTGGCAATTTCCAGTCTGGCTATTTTATGATTTTTTTTTTCAACAATGGTGTCTCCTTGGTTTTCTACCATTAAATCAACTTTGGCTCAAATAATGATGGATGGTGCAATCTGACACTGATGTTCCTGGAGCTTAAAGTTCCCCTTTACTCACTTTAAAAGGTTTTCTGGACTCTTGTTACCATTTGTATTATCGTCTCTTTGATTTGTCATTAATTTTCCTCCTGCTGCCCCATCGTTTGGCTACAGTCACATGGAACTTAAATTTCTAAATGATGTGTACAACCGAAATCAAAGGAACATCAAGCTGCCTTGAAGATGGTTTTATAGCGTTTACCTTTAAAATGCTTGTCAATAAATGTATTTCTAATCTCCTGAGGCAACTCTTTCCTTCCCTTTCTCTGGCCCATGTTGAGTGTGGTACACACCATGCCACCAAACAGCACATCGACTACCCGTAGCCCTATAATAGAACCGCAGACTGATTAAAAGATTGTAGACACCTGTAATACTCATTAGTAGACACACCTTAATGTTCTGTTGGTCACAGTCTTTTCTATAGGTACCATCATTTTTGTCCAGGCCAGTCTCAGGGGTTTATATCTTTTTAAATAATTGTGTTGAATCATGGTTATAAAAAAAATGTCTGACTGTTCATTTATTTGTGTTCATAGAATTTTTCTGTATTAGCTCTGTGTTTTCCTATATCAGATACAAGTTACTTGTGCGACAAATGTGATTTTCTTTCTTTAAACGAGGGGTACCAACAATTTTGTCCACGTCTGCACTGTATGGGTGTAGTAAACTGGTGCATGGATGGTTTGTGGAAAGCTTTAAAAAGGTACAGCTTTAGTTTATTAAAATTGGATGTAATATGCCACCTCAAGACACCATAAAGATTAACTACAAGCACCTTGATTCATGGATTTCAGTTTCTTATAGTATTATTACTTAAGTTGCTCTAAATAAAATAATCATCTTACAAAATATCCTTCAGAAGTCGCCTAGTTTAATTTCGTTGGATGCAAAATAATGCAACAAGGAAAACTAACAATCAAACCAACCCTGGTGGTGGAAGCATCATGTTGTGGGGATTAATTTCTTCAGCAGGTAGATAAAATCTGGTCACTTAATGTCACAGTTTTGGTTCTGTTATGTTTTCTTTTGAGTCCTCAGATTTACTTTGCTCCATGTTTTCTGGTTTTAGTGGTTTAATTCTTATTTTGTTGTGTTTTCTGGTTATTTTCAGTTCATTTGTTGCCCTCTGCTGCCCTCTTGTGTTCTCCTTTTCCCTAGCTCCTTTCCTGTTTTACTCTGTTCACACCTGCTCCCAATCTCCTCGTTAGTCCTCTCTTTGTTTTAGTCTCCCATACATACACTCTCTGTTCAGTTCCTCGGTGCTGGTTCCTCATCCAACTTCCTCCAACTCGTTTTTCTTTGTTTTTCTTCTTTTTGGTGTTTTCCCCCCTTGCGTTTTCCTTGTTTCTTGTTTTTTTTGCTTTTTTTTTCTTTTTGATTTTTTTGATTTTGGATTCCTGCTTCAGTTGTTTGTTTACTCTTCATTAAATCATCAAGAAATTCACCTCTGCCTCCCCGTTTCTGCATTTGGATCCTCACATTACAACCTAATCCTGACACTTAATAAGAAGCTGGAGGAGGCTAAATACAGGTTAGACATTGAATAAACCTGTTAGAGGTGGAATAAGACTGAGGTGGAGATTCTTCTCCCATAAAACGCAGAGTTAGAGCTACAATTAAATGCTTTATATGGGATAGCTGTAATTTAAATGTATGCATAGCTTTTTGAACTTGTAAATAAGTCAAAAATGTGAATAAATTAAAGATTTGGTATAGTTTCTTGTTGTAAACGCATACATACATTAGACTATTAGTCTGTAGGAAATCAAGTTTAGAAAATAAAAAATACATGTTTGAAAGATAAAACCTTGCAAAACAACCAGTACGGATCACAATCTCAACAAGTATAAATCTACAGTACATGCCCTGACAAATCTGTTTTACCCCTCAGTAAGTGGTAGTGGTAACACACCAGGTGGTTGTTCGCCGACCTGCTCTAAAAAAGAAGGAAGCTAAAAATAAAACCATCAATATTATGATACATCTACGTTGAAAACGTATTTTCAACTGATTTCAAAGTTTAATGTTTAATCAATGGATCTGTATCCCTTTGGTTCTTGTTGAAAGGTTGCATACCAACAACTTTCAAGTGCACTACCACCACCAACCAGCAACTTCCAAAGCTTCATCAGGGGATTTAGATTTAAACTCATAAATCTATAATTTGTACTGATTTGTATTCTTGTATTTGTGACTTCAAAACTTCTTTTCTCACAAATAAAACATTTGATGTCATGTATTCATGTTGAAAACAAGGAGTAAATAAAAATGTTTGATTCAGTTAAGTTTTTTAAGTAGATTTACAACTTCAGACACCTCTACATACTTTATGTTTTATTGCCATTTATCTTGGCTTTAGTTTAAAGCCTACTCTGATTTCCAAACAATCTAAATATAATTGAGAATATGGCAAGACTTAAAAAAAAAACATGTTTTCAGACTCTCCCTCCAACCTGACAAAATGTCACAGTCCATGTTGATGGTGAACTGGCCCCAGTGTGGACGTGACACCATGTTCCCTCATTTCATTTCATGGTAAGCCTTAGCCGTATTTGGTTTATATATTTATCAAGACACATTCGGGCAAAAATACAGCATATAAAGGAGTTTAAGGCTACGTTCACGCAGCAGTTTTAAAGGCACATTCCTTTTTTTTTGTTTTTTGTTTTGTTTGAATATGATTTTTTTTCACATGGTCATTCATATTAATATTTAATAGGAAAACATCATCAGATTGCAGTCTGAAGGGTTCATGACCCCAAAGCACCCAGCATGAGCAGAAGGAGAATGTAGACATCACACAGCAGTGCACTTTTTATGGAAGTAATAATAGATGCTGCCGTATCTGTGTTGTAACCAGCTGTAAAGCAATGGGAGCAAACAATGTCATGACAACATCATGGCAAAATGAAGAAAGTTAAAACATAAAGAGAGCATGGCTATTAAAAATGGCCTACAGTTGAAATATGACTGTTTCCGCTACAGAGTTGTTTGTTTGGATTTGTACTGATGAAATGTGACAGTTCTGACTGTGGGAACAATTGATTACATTTCAGATCTAGTGCCATTATGGAAGAGGGATTTTATTAGGTCAAAATATTGGAATTGTGATGTTCAGATGGCGATAAAACACACAGATACCAACAAAAAAAAAAAAAAATACAATTTGAGCAACATTTGCCTGCTACGTAAACCTAGACTATTGTTAAAATTCACCAAATGTCTCCCTCCAACTGTACTCTAGAGCAGAGGGGATGAGTTTAAAAATTGAAATAATCTTGCCTGACTTCATCATATGTAAAAGCCACTGCAGTTTGGGGCTATTTTAGTAGTGTGGTTTTGCCCCTTAGTTGCCAAAAAGAAACTCCTAACACTTAAGAATGCATGCACATTTTAGATTTTGGCTGAACACCTATAAACAAATCAAAGGTGCAGAAAAAGACATGTATGAGGTAGTTTCCTGTATAAGAACTGACTGGTCAAAACAGAGATCTGACATCAACCCGCTAGTACGCCTCTGAATGAAAACATCGACCACAAGCCAGGCCTTCGCATCCTATATCAGTGCTTGGCTTAAAACTGCAACCATACAGAAATGACCATACATGCAGTCCTAAATCTTGTGGAAAGCAAAAGGGGAGACAAACATCATATAAAACAATACAGACGGATTTTAAAAAGTCACACAAGTTTGTATGCGTGTGAATGCAGTTAGCAAAGAGCGGGCTGAGACTTCTGGGAAATCATCAGTTGATTGTCAGAATCAGATTGACATGAGTTCAGAGGTTTACATTATGCCAGTCCAAAAGGGATGCAATTAAACACATTACTATATCCCGTGTGCATTGAATGTCCAAATAATAAACTTTATGTTAAATAATAAAATGTGCCATTTATTATTTAATACCTTATTATTTTTTAATACCTTGTTATCATTTTGTTGTAGTTATTTTTTTCTTGTATTTGAGTTCTTAGATATTTCTTGTTTGCCCTTCTTCTTCTTCTTCTCTTCTATTATGGCGGATCACAAGCAACTTTAAGGTGCATACCGCCACCTACTGTACATGAGTGTGTAGCAGCGTTACTTCACATCTATTAGATTCTATTTTTTAATTTTGTATTCTTAAGATACATAAACAATGCTTTCCTTAGTTTATGAATATCTGTTATGTTTCCTTCATTTCCTAATATTCCTTTAAGATTCCATTCATGCCCTATACTTCTAACTATTCTCTTTAATTTTCCCTTTCGTGTTCATATAACTTACAGTTCATCAGTATGTGTTCTACATTTTCTTTTTCACCACATTTCTCACATTTATCACTATTTTTCCTCCCTATTAAATAAAGCATGTCATTTAAGTAGGTATGACCTATTCTTAATCTACTAACTATTATTTCTTCTCTTCTGTTTCTTTCATTAATGTTTCGAATTCGAACTGACTTTTGCACTTCATATAATCTTCTTCCTTTCCTATCTTCGTTCCATATTTTTTGCCATTCCTCCATTTCTTTACTTTTAATAAGTGATTTCCCTTCCCCTTTTCCAAAAGGAATTGAAATCGTTATTTCCCCCTCTAAAGCCCTTTTAGCTAATTTATCTGCCTTTTCATTGCCTTTTACTCCTTCATGTGCCGGCACCCAACAAAACCAAACATCAATGCCACCCCTATATAGTCTAAATAAAATATGATGAATTTCTAATACCAAATCTTTTCTATTATTTCCTTTTGTTTGCCCTCTTGTGTCACTCTCCTATTCCCTACCTCCCTTCTTGCATCCTTTGTTCACACCTGCTCCCAATTTGCTAATTAGCCTGCTCTTTGTTTCTCTCTCCCATATATTCTCCTGTTCAGTCACTCTTTGCTGGTTTGTCGTAATTTCTTTGCTCCCATGTTTTGAGTATTTCTGGTTCTCAGTTTTTGTGGATTTATGTTTTTGGATTTTTGCTTCTGTTACCCTTTTTGTCATTAATGTTCAAGAAATCAATATGCAGACCCCTAAGCGTCTGCATAGGGGTCCTGTCAAACCAACCCACCCTGACAATGTATATTCTGTTTAATAAAATTTTTTTTAACAAACTGATATCAAAATGTTAGTATATTATTATACAAAATTATTGAATTAAAACTTTTAGTGTTTGCCTGTTTCTCTAACTTTGGGAACTACAGGCTGAAATGTTTGCTTCAGGCAGTATAGTCTGTATAACGTCTATATATTGAGATTCTCTGTGCTGCTTCGGTTTGGTTCCCACAGAGCACACTCCTTTTGCCATGTTTCATTTCATCAGTCTGAATGCCAGGTGTCAGACACCCCTATGACCCACGACGTCTCATGCTAGTAGTTTCCTACGCTCTTATACTTTGCTTTTCTGTTTGTTACCACTGCTGCGACCAGTTTCACCACGGCCTTCCTGTGTGACCCACTAGCGCTGCCCCGTGTCCTCGTTCACACAGTTGTGAGAGCAGTGGGGTTACAGCTGAGCCGAACAAAAACACTCTGAAATGTTCTTATATGAAACGTGTGCATATCTTGCCTTCATGTGCTGCTTTGAGTCTAACTTTCACAAAGACACGTTATGCAAAGTAAGATCAAACACAGCTCTAAAAACATCAGTGTGAAGTTCGTCACACGACATCGTAGTTCATTCTTGGAGAGATTCCTAAACACATCCGGTTCTATTCATTTGTTGCAGCCTAATTAGCTCTGGACATTTACTGACCTAATTTTTGATGTAATTAAATTAGTTTTTTAAAGAAAGAAGGATTTCCTCTGAATGAGTCCTATAAATAACACTTCAGGGCGATAAAGGGTTTATTTTATCCATGGTAGAAAAGAATACGTGTTAAATTGGATTTTCTTTTTCCTTTGTGTCTTTCTTTCTGATCGGGGTTTGTACCTCATGGGTCAGGACGTTGACTCTCTGGTGCAGGTTGCCGTTTTCTGACTGCAGCAGCACCGTGTCTTTACTCTCAAATGAGCAGTAGGAGTTGGTGTCTTCCCCAAACTCGCTGATCATGGGGAACTGTGGAAACAGAAAAGGCCAGACAGAAGAAAAAAAATCTGAATAAAATGGCATTAGCAGCAAAAATCACAAATTTTTAGCCATCACTTTGTATAACAATCAGGAATGTTTGAAAGATAAAGTTGTACTGTTTATTCTTCCTGTTGATCTTAATTTTGTTTCATAACCCTTGAGACAGTAAGTTAACTTTTATCAGAAGCTGTCAAACTAGATGTAATAATTTTATTAGATTATACAGACCAGCCTTGTATCAACTGTATATATGACATTAAATAAAACTAATCAAACTTACTTTTTTAGCATTACACTTCTAACTTTAGGTCTTATCAAGCTTTATTTTTCTATTAGAATTTTATGTGATAGACCTACACAAAAGTGTAGGATTAAATTATATCTATATATCAAATAAACAAATTAAAAAGTGCAGCAAACGGATGCAGTCAGTCCCATCCATATCAACTCTTTGGTGAGTGACTTTTTACTGTAGTTAGTGCTGCAAATCTTTTAGGATTAATCTCTATTAGTTTTCTACGGAAGAGGATTAGGGCCCCTGAAAAAAATAAAAAAGTTAACTGATTCTTTAAATTTATTTCAGTATAATAAAAGAAAAAAGTCAGAATTCTGACTTTTAATCTCAGAATTCTGACAGCTAACAAACTGACTCTTATTTTAATCACCTTCTGCTCTTCCATTATTGAAATGGGATCACCAGGGACCCGTTGGGCAGGTAAAAAGTTGCCTAATTCTGTCATTTTCCACCAATGTTTTACTGGCCCTTCCAAACAACTCACATATTTGTCAGTGAAGCTGAGTGCTCCCACATCTCTTCTTTCATGGTGCCCTTCTACACTAAGAGCCAAAATTCTGAGAAAAAAGTGAGAATCCTGAGAAAAAAAAATCAGAATTCTGACTTCTTTCCCATATTAAACTAAATTAATATTTGATTTTTATTTTTTTTTTTTCCCAGTGGCCCTAATCCTCTTCCGTAGTTTTCACATCTACTGACTAAATATTTTACCATCTTTAATTTTCTTTGTCAGATTGAATGTAGAGCTTCTGCGAGCTCAAACTTCCAGCTATGCAAAACTGCAAGTAGGTCAGTGCAACATATACAGCATTTATTAATCGAGACTCCTGCTGCAACAGGAGCTTCAGTTTTGGAGCAAGTCATCCGGAAAAAAAATACTTGTCAACTTGCTCAATATTTTCAACTTGATTATTTTTTCTTCTTTCACCTGTCAGTGGTCATTATACTATGCCCGATTAGTGTAAATTAATCTAAATCATTATAGAAAAATATGAAATAATAAAGATGACCGAAAATAGTTTTAATTGATCTTTTCCATTCAGAAGAGCCACAACTGAAACTAACTGAGATGTTGAAAGCTTCTGTAATCCATGGGTGAAATGAATCAGAGTAAATATTTCTAAAGGAAAGAGGAAAATAATTTTGCATTATTCATAATTTGCATTTGCAAAAAGCAATATAGCTGATTCCTCCTGGGCTAAATGGATGTGCACATTTCCCACATGGATCACAGACATCTACAATCTAATTAAAACGGTCAGTGAACGTAAACTTTAGTCATAATGTAATAAGATTATAACCAGGATGACTGGTGGCACTTAACACTAGATGGAGTTATTTAGGTAATATACTGACACAGAAAGAAGAAGTGTTAAAGTCTATAACTAGTTTGGTTCATATGGCTCCTAATTTGTTTATCATGTGCATAAACTTCGCAGCAGTTGTACTTTCAGAGTGGAAGTACAACTTTGGATTAACATTTGTAAGCTGAATCAGATTAAATATAATTGTAGGTCTAAAATCTAAAGGTTTTACGACTACACAACCAAACTGGTTGTTAGCAGAGAGCTGTGATCCAGGCATGCTGCTTATATAACTCGGTGTCGTTCAACCTAAATGAACACATTTCCATTTAGAGTGCCTTACCATAAGGGCTTTTCATTTTCTGTGTGAAGTCGTTGCCTCGCTGATGCAATGTCTATTTGTGGAGAAAACAACCCTTTTCCATTTAGAAGAGCATCTCTCTTTGCTCGGTTTAACCGTAAATGGGGTAAACATGTGCAGTCGGCCCCGAGGGCCAGAGTTTTCTGACAGCGCTGAGATTCAGGAACTCTGAACTGGAGAGCAACTTCGCCTCAGCCCATGTTCAAAGCAGCAAGAAGTGTTCCCATCCATCATAACAACTGCTGTACTCTGGAGTTTTCTATCTGCTGCAGCTACTCTTCTATCAGGGTTGTTTGAGGCCAAGTATGTCGATGGAAATTATTCTCTTTACTCAAATCTGGATTCATATTTATATGTGGAAGAGAGAACATGTCTTCCACAAAATAGAGGCAGCATTCCTTCATCCATCCCTCCATCCATCCATCCAT